CCTGTCTCAAAATAAAAATTAAAAGGCTGGGGATATGGCTCAGTGGTTGAGTGCCCCTGGGTTAAATCCCAGGTACCAAACAACACAAACAATCAAACAAACAAACAAAAAAACCCACAATCTCAGTTCAGGTTCTATTATCACTTATTTATACTTTAGGATTAATTTCAACACCTATGTTTCCTTTTTCCCAGAGACTATTATGTTTAGGGCCACATTTCACAGTTTAGGCATTAATTGGAAAGGAAGGGACCAAGAGGAGCAAGAGGCCTCTCCCTATATCTCTGAAATATTATGATGGCACCAACTTCCATTTACTGAATGCCTACTGTGTACCTTACTCTGTGCCAGGAATTTTGCAAATATTTAAATAATGGGTTCAGAGTAATTGATTTAATACATGTAAAACATTTAGTAAAGTATCTGGCACATAGTAAATACTCAACTCAAAGTAGTTATTAGTTAACTGGGTGCAGTGGTACATGTCTGTAGTCTCAGCTACTCAGAAGGCTGAGTAGGAGAATCATTTGAGTCCATGAGTTCAGGGCCAACCTGTACAACATAGTGAGACCTTGTCTCACAAAAAAAAGAAAAAGTAGGTCAGGCTTAGTGGCACATACCTGTAATACCAGTGGCCCAGGAGGCTGAGACAGGAGGATTGTGAGTTCAAAGCCAGCCTCAGCAATAGCAAGGCCCTAAGCAAAAGCAATTCAGTGAGACCCTGTCTCTAAATAAAATACAAAATAGGGCTGGGGATGTGGTTCAGTGCCCCTGAGTTCAATCCCTGGTCCTGCTGCCCCCACCCCTCCAAAAAAGAGAAAGAAAAAGAGAAAGAGCAGTCAGGTGCAATGGCACATGCCTAATATCCCAATAACTCGGTAGGCTGAGGCAGAATGTTTACAAATTCAAGGCCAGCCTCAGCAACTTTTTGAGGTCCTAAGCAACTAAGTGAGACTGTGTCTCAATAAAAAAAAAAAAAAAATATGGGGACTTAGCTCAGTGGTAAATTGCCCCTGAGTTAAATCCCAGTACCTCCCACCCAAAATTTTTTTTTAAAAAAGTAGCTATTACTTTTTAAAAACATAGTAATTTTCCTAACAACCCAATGAGACAGGTATTATTTCATAGACAAAAAAACAAAATTAAGCAACTCCCCAAACTTGCTTATTTACATCCAAATATACCTGACTCTAAAGAATGTGCTCTTCCCATGACACCATTTGAATCTCAAACCACAAAAGCCTCAGTTTAATCTACCTACCAACGAATCCAACCTGAGACGTGGGCACACAGGGAGCATTGTCCTAGGATGCTTTATTTTTAATAAGACTTTCTTTACCATGAGCAACTGTTCCATCAGTTTTCTCGCCTTCATTCTTCTCAGCAGAGTGGAGGTTATTTCTCCTAGCTGTACTCACAGCCTCTTATTGTTGGGGAAGCGACAGTCTGAGAAGAGAAGAAAGTCTCTAGAGTCTTGAGTTGTCAGAAGCAAGCTCCAGCCTAAGCCTCTTTGATTTTTGCCTGCTCCCAAGAGCAGGACTGGAAAAGAAGTGAAGCTTGGTCTACTTTCTTCTAGGACAAGACCCATGGCCACGTGTCTGGTCAGGGTGCCATGATGTCCATCCAAGCCCCACCCCTTCCTCAGCCATCACATCCAGGTACTCTTTGTTTTGACACAGCCCACAAGAGAAGCAGGCTGCATGCATTTCCAGAAAAGTGGGTGTGTGGCTTGCTTCCTTCCAGAGGTGGTGGGGACTTTGGTTAGAGCTTGCTGTTCCTGGGGTCATCCCTGAATGAACCAGGCAGGACACCAAAACAGAACTCCTGGTCTCCACGTCTGTTTCTCTCCCAAACTGGGCTGTTGGCTCACAACAGCAGGAACCTAAGTATGGCTGGTGGCTGGAAAAGCAACTCAGAGCCTGGTGCCTAGGCAAGACAACACTTTCATTCACAGGACCCGTTTTACCAGCCTCTTCGGAATGGTAGAATATTTGTGCTAGGATACAGCCTCTCTCAAATGCTCCCTGAACATGTGCTGACTGCGGGGATTCTTTATTCTCTGTGGAAACTGCAATAAAGCCGGGCCTTTGTTGGAGATCTATGCTGTCCCTCTTTTCACCTGAATTTAAAATAGAATTCTCAGAAGAGACTCCCCTCCCTGAGGCTGTTTTGAGACTCTCACATGAACCAGTCTGGGGGGCATGGGACATAGTCTTTGCTAAGATCAACACTTCCTACATCCACTCTGATGGATACAGAGGGATATCCCTCAACAAATATATGCAAAATTCAAAGGACAACTTGTCCCCTTTCAGACTGGAAGAGAAATCTAAACAATATAAAGAAGTCATCCCAAGGCTTCTTCCTGGATGCGTTCATCATTCATGATGGCTGACTAGATGGAGATCAGCCTCTATGGTCCTTGTGCCTCTAAATCGTATAAGATACATGGACTTCACAGAACTCCTGGTGCACAGGTATGCTTTAAAAGGGTTTCTTTCCATGTGGGAGAACACTGATCTGCCAGGTTCTGCATTTCCCTTGTTCAGTTTTATCCAACAATATTCTTTTTACCCAAATATCATTTCCCAATCCAACTAAGGTTCACAACCTGGCTGATACCAATGGCCAGTGAGGTTTTGAGAAGTTCTGCAGCCATGCCATTCTACAAGGGCTGGGTCTTTGGTCTGAGTAAGTGGTCAGGAAAGCCTGCTGTTCTAGAGCTTCCCAGGCTGAGCAGGATTCACATACAGCTCTCGCCCTCCAGGACTCTGATGGCCTCAGGTTGTGGGTGGCAGCAGGGCTCACGTGCTTGCTGAGAGCCTAGATAAGGAAGACTGGAAAAAGCTGAATGCAGATGAGTGGGTAGACAGGGGATTTGGTAGAGCCTGCAATAGTTCATTATAAGTCTATCAAACAATGAGGAGAAAAAGTCAGGAGCCAGGTTCATACAGGGATAAGTAGGGAACTTCATTCAGGAAGACAGTATGGGGAAATCAGTAGGCAATTTGCCAAGAGTTGGAGCTAAAAGCAAACCAGAAAAACAGTTAAAAACAACCAATTGACATTTGACAAAGTTGTCAATGTGAGTGAATAGGAAAAGGATGATCTTTTTGACAAGTGGTGAAGGAATAAATGTTTAATATGCAAAAATAAACCTCAGTTTTTATCTCCTTCCATGCAGAAAAAATAACTTGAAGATACCTGTAAGGGCTAAAACTATAAGAACTATAAAGCCTTAAACAGAAAACATAGATAAAATCTTAAGTGACTTGAATTTGGCAAAAATTATTTCAAAGACTTTGAAAAGCATGAACTACAATGCTGTGATTATACTTAATGTCACTGAACTGTACACTTAAAATGGCTTAGATAGTAAATTTCGTTATTTGTGTCTTATCACAATTTTTAAACATCATAGAATATTTTCTATTGGTATTCTATTGGAGGGGACATGAGCCATGAAAAAATATATATTAACAAATTAGACTTCATGAAAATATCAAGCTTTTGTTCTTCAAAAGACCCTTGTAAAAATGAAAGCAGGAGACATAAAAATTTGCAAAATTGACAAAGGACATAACTTACAAAGGACTTTGTCTGGACTATATAAAGAACACTTACACCTCAATAATAAGAGAGCTCATTTTTTTTTTTAGAAAAATGGGCAAAAGTTTCAAACATTTCATCAAAAATATAGAATGGCAAATAAGCATATGAAAAGATACTTAATTTAATTACTCATGAGAAAAATGCGAATTGAAGTCTTAAAGAGAAACTACTGCATACCCACTAGAATGGCTAAAATGAAAAAGTATACCAAATGTTTAATGAATTGGAGCCATTGGAACTGTTTACACTGCTGGTTGGGATGTGAAAGGGCACAACCACTTGGCTAAATGGTTTGGCCACTTTTCACTAAGCAAAACATACACGTACCATATGATTCAATATTTACTCTCCTAGGGATTCACCCTAAGAAATGAAACCATATCTTTCCAAAAAAACTTGCATCTAAAGGTTCATAGTAGCCTTATTTGCAGTAGCCTAATGCTCTAAACATTTCAAATGCCCATTTAGAAGTGAACTGATGAAACAAATTTAGTATAACTATATAATGGGATACTATTCAGCAATACAAAGGAATGAACTATTGGTACATGCAACAATATGCTTGAACCTCAAAATAATTATGCTGAGTGAAAGAAGCCAGATAAAAAAGGATACATGCTGCCTGCTTCCATATATAAAATTCTAGAAAATGCAAATTAATCTATAGGGGCAGAAAGCAGACAATTGGTTGCCTAGGAACAGGGTGGGATGAGAAGTGAGGCCGGATTTACCAAGGGGCACAGAGAAGCTTTCGGGAATGATGGACATGTTGGTTATCTTGATTGTAGCAGTAGTTTCATGGGTGTATACATATGTCAGAACTCATCAAATTGTGTTCTTTAAATATGTGCAGTTAATTATATGCCAATTATAATTCAATAAAGCTTTTCAGAAAAAGAAGAAAGATGGGGGGGAAAATCTACTTTCTGCCATCCTCAGGCAGCACAGGGTCATGGCTAGAATGTGGGCTCTGGGGGCTTCACTTAGACTGTGTGAGTTTCTAACTGAGTGACCTTGGCCTAATCATGTGATCCACCTAAGCCTTGCTTTCCTCACCTGTGAAATAGGGATAAGAGTAATGTTGTGAAGATAGATTACCTGGTATTTGTAAAGTGCTTAAAACAGCAGCTAAGAAGGGTAAGTGTTGGTCACCACCCTTCCCCTCCCCCCCTTCCCATCATCATCCTCTATAAAGCTGCTAATGGACACGCACAGTAGAGCTCAGCATTCTGGTGAATGGATGGAGGGGAATAGGTGAGAAGACAAGAATTCAAGTCTAACTGGTACCCAGAAGTCCCACCACCCCTTGGTGATGCCTTAAGGCAAACTCTAAGAGACCAGGTTTAGCCAGGTTAGAAACTGCAGGGGAAATGTCACAATGAAATGCATGAGCTTGCACAATTCATATGTGCTAATAATTACTTTTTTAAAAAAGAAAGAAACTGCAGGGGAGAGAGATAAGTGGATAAAAGCTGGCGGGGTGGTGGTGGTGGGGGAATGAAAAATAAGGATGACATCTGACAGGCAGTATGGGGACCCTTTCTGAAATTCCCAACTTTCTAGCAAATGCCTTGCTGTTGAAATAATCAAATTGGAAAATGGACTGTCCTCTGTCCTTTCAGCATTCCAAGGCTTTCCAGTTAACCACCCCTCATGGCTTAGTCTCTGCTCACCTTGGATCTGGGGTGTCACTTGAGAAGATCAGCACCTTCAGAGCTGGGTGACTGGAGTGAGCACTCATTCAGTCCCTGACCCAGATACAGCCATAGGGCAACAGAAATGCTGCTAGCAACGGGCTACTCAGGGTGAGGACAGGGAAATCTACAGAGAAAAAGTGCAAGGCCTGGGTGAAAATATTGGACTGGTGGGGATGGAAGGTGGGGAGAGGAGATGGCTGCTTAGAAACTGAAGGAGCTTTTTTTCCGGAATCCATAATGGGGTCACATAAGCACAAATTGAAAAAATGAGGACTTAGCAATTGGGGCCGTGGTGGGATCCAGCTGGCCAGAAGCCTGGGGCCAGGCAATTTCATTCTCTAGGAGAGGTTTCTGTAGGAGCAAAACTGGGAAAAGAAATGGAGAAAAAAAATTATTCAAAATAACATGCAGGTGAGCCAGGCCAGGGCCTGTTTCAGAGAGGGTTTGTGCCCAGGTTGATGGTGCTGCTTGGTAGAGAGGTGTCTCAGCCTGAAAGCACAGTGAAGCTTAGCAGCTCATGGCTCAAAATCCAGCTCCACAGTTCTACTGGCCACATGCCATTTGCCCCACTCCCATCTTTCTTATGTGGCTCTCTGTATATCACCTGGGCTCTCCTTTACCTCTAGCTCCAGGATGGATTTGGCCAATGGGAGGCATGGATGGTGGGCACAGGAAAGCAGGAGAAAAGAGAGGTTAGGGTATTTCTTTTCTGTTCCCTCTTTCTTTGGGGTTTGATCCTGTCTGTCACCATGTTACTCCATGACTCTAGGTCCACCCCTGTGGTTCCAGTTCTCACTCCTGACTTCGGTCATAGTCTTTGCTTTCCTTGACCTGTTGGTGGTAAGAGCTTCCTGTTAGTCTCTGAGTACATCTCCAGCTTTTGTTCCTTCTTGAACCTACCCTCATCTCTCTGAGCAAAACCTCTTTATCTGAACCATATTCAGAGGATTCTAGTCCTTACCAGGTAGCTGCGTAGTAACCTGGGGCTATCAACCTCGGGGCTCTGTTTTCTCATTTAGAGTGGGGACACTGGGAGTCAGGTGAATTCCATGAGATAATGCACAAATTAGCTACTGATGGGATCTCAGACAATGTCTTAGCAGAGGGCCCTTGGAACAGTGGCACCAGGATGCTGTAAGTCTCCTAATCTCCTCTCTCTCCTCTCTGAGTCCTCTTCACCTTAGGTAAACCCTGTGCACTCAGATTGACGAGAAGAAGAAGGACGTCCCTCCAACTTCTGGTCATGCAGGCTGGGGAAGGCAGGAGGGCATTGTGCCAGCCTAGCATACTAACCGGCCCCTGGCAAAGGTCAGCCTGCCCGGAATAAGGAACTACCCACAGCCAGGAAAGGTAAATCCAAACTGAAAATATAGACATTGAGCATTTCAGTCAACAAAGCCCACAATGCGACTTCTCAGAGCACTATTTATGAGTCAATAAACCATCTCAGTGACTCTAGGTTGGAAGCCCTAAGGTCTCCTTGAATGGCTTATGGAAGTTACTGCTAATCAGGGCTCCAGGGGGCCTAGAGGCCAAGGCTGGGGTGTCTCCTCTCTCTCTCTCTCTCTCTCTCTCTCTCTCTCTCTCTCTCTCTTAGTTGTAGTTGGACCTAATACCTTTATTTTATTTATTTATTTTTATGTGGTGCTGAGGACGGAACCCAGTGCCTCGCACATGCTAGGTGAGCACTCCATTGCTGAGCCCCAACCCCAGCCCTCCTTTTTCTCTTAAAGCTGCTGTTTTTCCCCACTGGGGGAGCACCAGGCCCTGGAGAGGCTGCCATGAAGTGGGTGCCCTGTGAAGATTCCAGACTCAGAGAAGACAGCCGGCATCACCACAGGACTGAGAGCCAAAGTTGTGTCTTCTGCAGAGGAGTGAGGAAGAATGCAATTATTTCTTGCTGGGGGTGAAGGAGGGCTATCGTGTAGGGATCCAAAAAGCACAGCATGGAGGCCTGAGTGTGAATCCTGATTGACATTTCTTTGTTGTTTGACCTTGGCAAATGTACTTACCTGTCTGTGACTCCATGGTGTCACCTGTAAAATAGGATAATAGTAATGATATGTTTGCCTAATAATGTCTTCATAAGAATTAAATGAGATTACACACACTTATAAAATGACTCCTAGCAAAAGTAAGTAGTGTCCAAATTAGTCATTATCAAAAACACAGTTTGCTGGGCGTATATCACTTCCCATCTGGCTCTTTCTCCCAACTCCAAAGAGAGTGAGTCCCTGGGAAACTGAGGGGTAATAATTCGACACTCACCTCTGGGAGGGTAACAAACACAGTCACACAAGCTCCGGACCTGGATCAGCTCTCATAGCCCAGCAGAGCTCAGGGGCAGCTGGAGGAGGAGTGCCAAGGTCATCACTGCTAAGTGGCTGGTTCCCAGCAAACTGTGTCTTCAGGCAGCACCTTGGGTACTCTGACAGACTAGCAGAGCTAGACTGTGCTGTCTAGAAGCCATTGCCGCTTTGTAGAAAGCAAAATAGTCTGGAAAGAGTCTCAGTTTTGAAAGCCCCAACATCAGCTGATGTTAGACAGCAGATGTGTAGCAAGAGAGAAGTGGTGCCACGGGCAGGGGACATCAGTCTCCAAGAGGGTTTCCAAGGCCATAATGGACCCCAGTGAGTTCTCCAGGTCTGGGAGTACCCTTCGTCAGGCTCTGAACTGCATGTGGCCACAGGCTGAGAGTGAATCCAAGTTTTAGGGAGAGATGAACATCTCCAAGATCATAAAACAGAACTGAGTGCTAATTAGTTATCTCCTTTTTTCTCTCTTACTCTTCCCATCTGATAGTTATATCGCCTATGTGCCAGGTGACTATTCATAAAGCAGTCTTACCAACCTAGATACTCTTCAACAGATGAATGGATAAAGAAAATGTGGATTATTACAATGGATTATCACTCAGCCTTTAAACAGAATAAAATTATGTCATTGGAAGAAAAATGGGTGGAATTTGAGAACATTATGTTAAATAAAATAAACCAAACTCAGAAAGTCAAGGGTTGTGTGTCTTCTATCATATGTGGGAGCTAAAGAGGAAAAAGGAAAAGAAAGATTGAGGGGATCTTATGAAAATTGAAGGGAGAGCACTCGAGTAGAGGAAAGGGACCAGGAGGAGGGAGGCGGGAAGGGAAAAGGGGAATACCAGGAAAGGATTTTGGTCAAATTACATTGTTATATTTGTGTGCATGTGTGGGTACGAGTATATAACAATAAAACCCACCATTATGTACAACAAAGCACCATTAAAAAATGTGATTTCCTTCAAAGTGTCTAAGAGCAAATAGTGAACATGCTGAATATTTCCTATGGGTCAGGCACTAATCTAAGCACTTTACACATAATTGCATTGTATGCCAAGTTGCATTTTTCAAAGATGGCTGCTCTTCTTACAAAATGGTGTTGGCACTCCATCCATCAACTATATCTCTTCCTCTTAAAAACCTAAGTAGGCTTTTGTGACTGCTTTCACTAATAGATTATGTCAAAAGTGAAGTTATCTGACTTCCAAGGCTAGATCATAAAAATGTCATGCTCTTCTGCCTTGTACTCTTTTTTGTTTGTTTGTTTGAATTGAACTTGGGAGTGGGGACACTTAACTACTAAGCCACATCCCTACCCCTTTTTAAAAATTTATTTTGAGAAGGTCTCACTAAGTTGCTGAGGCTGGCTTTGAACTTGTGACCCTCCTGCCTCATTCTCCTAAGCTGCTAGGATTACAGGTGTGTGGTACTGCACCTGGCTGCCTTGTACTCTTGTGTGCTCACTTTGGGGAACCAACTTCATGCTATAAGGAAGCACAAGCCACATAGAAAGACCACAATGTAGATGTTTTAGCTGACAGACCTAAATGGGGTCTCAGCCAATACCCAGCATCAACCACCACTTATGTGGATAAAGAAGCCTCTGAGATGGCTCTAGCTCTAGCCCCAGTCATTGTCTAACTGTCAGCGCATGATAAACCATGAACAAGAACCATCTCACTGGGGCCAGTTAACCCCCATTGCCACTAGAGATAATTAAATGATCATGGTGGTTTTAAATTAAACCACCGAATTTTCAGGTGATTTGTTACACAGCAATAAATAACTAAGACCCATGAGTATTCCAATTGTTATTTGATTACTTTTGTTCCCTACCAAGATGTAACCTAAAAGAAAGTAGAGCCTGGATTTCTCATATACATAGCTGTATCTCTAGGATCTAGCAAAAAGTAAGTTCCCATTGAGAATTTGTTAAATGAATAAAATGTCGTTGTTCTTGGTTCTTACAAAATCCTGGAAAATGTCAATAAGGAAAGCATTCTGATCATCTTTGTGAGTAAAGAAAATTGGCCCAGAGAAGTTAAGTGGCTTGTCAAATGTCCCATAGTCCCACATGCAGTCACTATCTGGGTAAGGAACAGATTCCATGTCTCCTAACTAACTCCTCCAGCGGGTGTTCTTTCTCCTGTGCCATACTATTGTCAAGCAGATACATATCTCTGCATAACTGTCCTAAATTGGAACATATCCCGGAATGATAGCACCAGATGAATGCAAATCTGGTATTCTTCCTTGAAAAAATATAGGGTTTTTTGGTTTGTTTTTGCTGTGCTGGGGATCAAACAAGATGCCTTGTGTGTACCAGGCACTCTACCACTGATCTAGACCCCCATCTCACAGAGAGTCTTTATATGAGATGTGGAGCAGGGAAGGAATCTGGCTTGGCTATAGAACTGGAGAGGAAATTCTACAAGAAAAAACTTTTGGAGTGACTTTCAGTCTAAAGTGAACTGGGCACATGTGGAGTTGGCAGTAGATCTGAGCTAACAGAATGAGCCAAAGATATTTGGAAAACAGGTTTGAGTAGGGGAAGGGAATCCAGGGCTTCAGACTTCTCTGTTGAGCTCTACATAGGAAATTGCCCAGCTTCTGCCATATTATTTACCTTCTCATCTGTCTTAGTTCTTTTGTACTATTATAAGAAAATCTCTGAGACTGGATAATTTACAAATAATAGGAATTTATTTCTCATAGTTCTGGAGGCTGGGAAGTTCAAGGTCAAGGCCACAGTAGGTTCAGTATGTGGTGAGGACCAGGTCTCTCTGCTTCCAAGGTGGCACCCTGTTGCTGCATCATCCAGAGAGGATAACACTATGTCTTCACATGGCAAAAAAGAAGGGGTGAACCAACCTTTTTTTAAATCACTGATCCATTCATAAGGCAGAATCCTTGTGGCCTATTTCTTATAAGAGCTCCACCTCTTAGTAACACAGTGGAAATTAACTTCCAACAAGAATTTTGGAGGGGACACATCCAGGCCATAAGATGGTCCAAAGCAACAGGCTAACCAAGAAGGGAGGATGGCTCAAGAAGAGATTTCTCTTCCCAGAGAGAACTATCTTAAGGGAAACCCAGCCATGACACTGTGAAGAAGACAACACGACTCCTTTTGTCTTAGAAACTAAGACTGCAGACGAGGAGAGGCAAGAAATGTTTTATATGTTTTTCTTTATTCCCTTTCTTCCTGAATTTGACAGTGTCTCCATTTTCTTTCCAATGGAGGGAAAAATGACAACTAGGATTTCTCTGGAATCTTGACCACAGAGCTCAGGTTTTAAAGAAAGCACGTAGTTTCTTTTTTTAAAAAAATGGCATTTACCGCAGTAACAAAATAAATTCTGTTTAGCTTGGTACTTAATATCTTGGCCTTTCTAAATCAACTTACCAAGTGATTTACTTTAACCCAATATCTGCAAAAGCTGACCTTCTAGTAGATGCCATTTATCTTACCTCGGGGACACAGGTCACAGACAAATCTGCAGATGAATCTTAGAAATGATCTATATAGAGTAAATGGGTTTAGATGGGTGTGATGGCGTATTCCTGTAATCCTAGCTAGCGGCTTGGGAGGCTGAGGCAGGAGGTTTGAGTTCAAAGCCAGCTTTAGCAACTTGGTTAGGCCCTAAGCAACTCAGTGAGATCCTGTCTTTAAATAAAATACAAAAAAGGCTGAGGATGTGGCTCAGTGGTTGAGTGCCCCTGGTTTCAATCCCCAGTACCAAAAAAAAAAAAAGTAAAAAATGTATTAAAAAAAAGTGTTGCCAGGCTCAGTGTTGCACACCTATAATCTCAGCTACCTGGGAGGCTGAGGCAGGAGGATTGAAAGTCCCAGCCCAACCTGGGCAAAACCCTATCTCAAAATAAAATTTTCAAAAAAGGGTTAAGGATGTCACTTAATGGTGTAGCAATTGTTTAACATAAATGAGGCTCTGGGTTCAATTTTCAGTACTGAAAAAGAAAAAGGGAAAAAAATAAATAAATGTGGACCATGGAGGAGTGAGATGCAGCTTGGGTGATAAAAGCCCTTAAGTCCTCAGAGGACTGGAAGGACAGTCCTGAAACCCTTGGAGCCTCAATTTCCCCATCTGTAAAAGCAGAACTAGTGTCACGTCAGCATGTAAGATTACTTTCTAGAAATAAAATTCTCTATTAAAACATTAAACTTTACTCCATAAGTAATTAGTGAGTACTTTCTATGAACAGATTAAAGTAACAGATCCCCAGTAGAATGCAGAATATGTAGCCCTTATCCTCAGGACTTTCATTCTACTGAGGGACAAAAGACTTACACATATAGAACAACAGTCAGTAAAAGACTGGCAATAGTGGCAGAATGGATTGTAGAGATGATAAATGCTGCAATCAGTAAAGAAGGATGCAGGGAGGAGGTGAGGCCTAATGTGGGCAGTGAAGGATGGCCAAATTTTAGGTAAACAGTCAAGAGTCACACAGATTTAATAAACAGCAAAATTTGTAATGCACAGCTTATTATTATATAAACGTTAGCATATCAAAATCCATACAGTATAATCTGAAACCACTCTGTGGATAGACTGTATTCTTTATTCAAAAATATTCGCTACCACCCCTACACTTCCCACCAACTCTGGTGTCAGAGTTGTTCTTATAATTTATTATCCAAAGGAACTGATACACATCACATCCAAGTGGTCTCAAGAGTGGGATTCCTCATTGTTCTTTTCCTCTGCCACAAGGCATACATAAGAAGTTCCACTTCTCCAGCTTGAATCAGGAATAAAGAGGACATGGAACAGTGCTGAATAATGAACACGTAATATGAATAAGAAAGAATCCTTTGTGGTTGCCCTTGTGCATGGGAGGCAAGCACTCTACCAACTGAGCTATACCCCCAGCCCTACACAGCATAACTTTATCTAAGCTGACTGATAAAAGCTTGATGCAGAAAAGTCTGAAATAATCTTGGCACTGCAAGAAGAAAAAAAAATTCTGAAATGATCAGTTACATACTGAGTGCTGAAAAATGCAAAGTATCACAAGAGGAACTGGAAATTATTATGATGATTTTTTAAAAAAAAAAAACATTAATATAGCTGGGCATGGTGGCACACACCTATAAACCTAGCTATCCCAGCTCCTTGGGAGGCAAAGGAAGGAGGATGGTGAATTCAAGGCCAGCCTGGACAATTTAGTAAGATCCTGTCTCAAAATAAAATAAAAAGAGCTAGGGATGTAGCTTAGTGGTAAAGCTCTCCTGAGTTTAATCCTAGTACTGAAAAAAAAATCAGTAATACTATTAATGAATATCCCTTGTATTGAACTTGACATGTAATGTACATCACATAACACTTTGATATACGTCATCTGAGCCAGACCTGTGAGTATTTTCCCCACTTAACAAATAAAGACACTGAAGTTCAGACCCCAGTTCAAACAGCTCAAGTGTAGACAAGCCCCAACCCAAGCCTAGATCTTTTGATTTCCAATCTATATCTTTAAAAGCACACATGAGACCCAGTGTCCACCGTATGGGGGCTGAGAGTCAAGACCTGCTGCTCTGGCCCCACTAAGCAGTCAGGCCCAGAGAGCGGCCAGCATAGCTCTTGGGATGGAGTTTTGTCTGTCTACTCCATAGCAGCCTTGGAGCTCGGGGGTACAGCTTCCTTTGAAAACCCCCTTCTTCTAATTTTGAAAGCTTTCTCACCTTGGTGGGGCTAAATCACTTCACTGAAGTGTGCTCTTGGGAGAGCCCTCTTTCCCCCCATACCCTTCCCCCATTGTCTCCAGTCTGTTTTTGTTTTCTATGGCAAATTCTGTGATTAGGATGTGGGTAAGAGTCTGAAAAACATGAGAGGAAGAGAGAAAACTGAGAGAAAGGAGTGGGATATACAATAAAGGCAAACAATAAACAAAATTAGTTCCCTACACATAGCCCAGGAGGTTCCCAGTATTCTAAGGAAGTGGAAACACTCACCCTCCCCAATACTACACCTTGACCTTCCCGGAGTCCTCCCTGACCAAGGCTCCCCACCACCAAACTCAGGACAGAAGTTATAGAACTAAACCTGAGTCAGTCCAGTGTAGACCAAGGAGAGTGGTTCATATGAATTTGTAAGTCAATCAACCAGTTGCATTTATTCTTCCTGTAGCATCCCAGTCTTTGGGCTGGATTGGACTCGATGGCTTGACCAGGTAAGGTAACCTGGGACTACTAGGGTCTTGCTGCTCCTCTCCTAGCTTCTGAGCCCCCTGACTGGTTGATATAACACTAGGGATCAAAGCTTCTTCCCTGAACTTGACTCACATTGGACTCCAGTCTCCTTTGTGTACAACTGTTTGTTTGAGATTTCAATAAATAATGAAAGTGATATGGATTAACATCCCTCTCCTTCCCTCCACTTTTTTTTGCAGCACTAGGGATATGAACCAAGGCCTCATGCATGTTAGACAAGCAATCTATCCCTGTCTCTCCTTTTTGAGAAAGTTCTTACTATGTGCCACATCCTGTTCTAAGTTCTTTCCATGCATTAACTCAGTACCATTACTCTGCTATTGTTATGTCCATGGTACAGAGGAGGAAGCTGAAAACTTCTGTTGCACTTACTATTTATAGTGAAATGATCCAGAGGAGTATCCTAAAGCCTACCGAAGCCTACCGAATTGAGGAGATGGGAAGGTCAAGATCTGAATAAATGTGAATACACTGCAAGTTGGTGGGGTGTCTCCAGCTCTTTTTTCTCTGGCCGAAAGAAAAGTTACCTAAGGAAGAGTCTATTGGTTTGGGACCTGAGGTCTAAATCTGTTCCAAATTAATCAAATGACCTTGAACAATGTATCTCTCTCCGTCCTAGATTCCCTATGGGTGCAGTGTGGGGAGAGGGAACTGGCACAAGACATTGAGACAGCTTGCCATGTATTTACCATATAGCCAAACAGTTGTCCTTGTCTTGCCCTTCCAATCTCCACACTGCCTTTGGCAATTTCAAGACCCATTTCATTATAGAGAATAATTGCACCAGAATTTTTCAGTTTCCTCATCTGTGGTAGGGATGAGAGTAATGACCTAAGGTTCAATGACACCTCTAGTTAACTGTCCCTGGGCTCTGCCAAGCAGCTGGCAGTGATGTTCCTGGGAAATAAGCTGGAGGCTGCTGTAGCTGGGCTCTTTTCCCGAACAGCTGGTGTGGAGAGCAGGGAGGGCAGGACAAACTCTGAGACTCCAGCCAACTGCAGTGTCTATTAAGGGCGACCCAGATGGCCACCAGCCAACCACCCATGCCTGTGTGCTTTGCAAGCTGTAGCCTCTCCTTTTGAAGGTCTCCCTCTCCACAGTTGGAGGAATTCTCATTCTACTTGCTGCACCTCTCTACCTGGGTTAGGCCTCAGCCTAAGCCTCTATCTTTATGTGGACCCTGTGAGGCTCCTCCTTCCCCATGGCCAATGCATAGCCTCTCACATGGGCTTCAGGACCCCCAGGCTTCCTTGAGCAGGCTTTAGAGGAGGGGGTTACAATGAAGATCATATGCTATATCCCCTTCCCAGATCAAGGCACAGAAACAGAGTCTTCTCTTATTTCTCAAGGTTAACACCTTCAAGGCCGAAGGCTCCATATAGGCAAAAGGGAGTTAATTACAGGAAAAAAGCAATTAAACTGGAGGTGGCCTATGGATTCCCCATGCTGGCTCCTGGTGCCCAGCTTGCCTTCCCCCTTCAGGCCTATCTCCCAACCACAGAGCCAATTTGACTACCACAGACAGGAGGGCCCTTGGTCACAGTTCCCCTACCTGGATTCCAGGTCCTAATACTCTGTTTTCCCAAGAGAGAAGAGTAAAGATTCCTACAGGGATGGGGTAAGGGGGATTCTGGCTGCCACCAACCCCGTGACAGCCTTTTGTATTAGCATGCATGGCCATTTATTTCCAGGTCCCAACCTGTCCATTCCAGGGTCAGCCCTGAGCTTTTCCTCTGAATACCCAAAGGTCCAGTGTTTTTCTCAAAACAAAACATTGGCTTTTCTCTTAGATGGATTTTCCCTCTTCCTCTTGCTAAACAGGAAACAGTTGAAGCTTTAGAATTACAGTGTGCCCTGCTTCCAGCCTTCAAGCTTTCAGGGGTATTAGGGTCTGGTTTGAGAGCAGCACATAAATAATAATCACACATGAACAGCAGGACTTGGGTCAGTCGTGGATGGAGGCTGAGATGCTGGTCAGTCTGCAAAAGTAGGTCCTTCCAGGAGTCAAGGTTTTAAACTAAGCATACAATTAGAATAGTCTTCAGGACTCTAGTACATGGCTTTATTGGCCAGCAAGAACAAATTACCCCTATGTTTATTTTTAAAAAGTCAATGACCTATGAATAAACAGCACTTGACATTGAAAATTGCCACATTAAATTCCGAGGTCCTCTGTCCATTACAGCAGCCTCCCGAGCTCTTCCAAATTGTCACCTAGGATGAATATGACAGTAAACAATGCTTTAAAAGTAAGTAATCTGCTCCATAATTATTTCAGCGGCTATGACTGCCAACCAGCAGGATCACTTATGAAAAAGGATGCAGTCATTCCTTATTAAAAATGCATGAATATACAGCCTCTTGATTGTGGAAATAATCAGCAGACTATCTAATGTAACAAGACTTAGCCACAGAAGAATTAATTAGGGTGAAATTGATTAAGGAGAAGAGGGTAAAAATCTATTTGTGATGATTCGGGCTTCCATTAAACTCAAGCATTAATTCTCACATACTTCCCAAATTAAGAGCTTCATCTAAATGCTCCTCATTAATATTCCAACATACTCCACCCTCCTTTAACCAGAGAGAAATGTGGGCAAAGAAAATTACAGATCCTGTTCTTGTGGACTCTACAGCTTCTGTTTTAAGGAATTCAGCAGATGAGAGGTTTCGTGATTATTTTAAATAAAAGATGGGGGTGGGGGAGGTAGTAAAATCACCAAATTTTTCTGGTCTTAGAGCACTGACTACTTCCATTAGGTTTCTCGAAAGCTAAAGGAAGCACGCAACATGAATAATTATCGTTCAGCCTCCTGACTTCTCTTTGTCCTGTGGTAACCTGCTCCAAAACAGATAAGGGGACTCTGGAGGGGTCACATATTCCTTTGCTTGCCATGAGACAGAGTTGTATTAAAACACATACGTCATTATCTCCATCTCTGGAGCGGCCTCCAGGGACCCGGACTCCACCCCTCCCTTGGTAACAGTCGGGAGCAGCGGCTCACATATTCCCAGCTCCTCCTCCCCTCCGCCCCCTGCAGCCGTTTGCAGATGGGAGGAGAAAGGAGAAGCTTCCCTGCACCATCGAGTTTTGTCTTTCACTTTGTCTCCATTAGGAACCTACTCTGTGGTTCCTGACCTTCTGTGTCCCAACTGTGCTTATATTTCACAGGTCAGTGACCTTTTCCTGTTCCTCCAATGACTATTATCTTTGCAGCAATTCTTCCATCTGCCACCTTGTTTTTTTGTTCTGTGGTGGGTAAGGTTGAGTTCGCTCTTTGTCTGAGCTGGGACAGGCAGCTCCTAGTCTGGAAGCAACCAGAGTTCTCAGAGGCTTCTCTGCCTAGGAACGCTCCCCCTCAGCACCCATGGAACAGACCACCTGGGGCAAGGTGGGAGCATGGAGTCAGCAGCCTTACCAGCAAAATAGGGCAATAGGAGAGCAAGTTGTTGACAGAGGCCTTCAAGCAGGGTCCTGAGAGCAGGAATCCAAGCCTAACTCTGCCTTGAGGAGCAGCTAGGCAGTATCAGAGAAAGGAGGGAATCCCAAACAGAGGGAACCATCTTAGAGGAGTTAGGACAGTATGCCTGTGGCAGCTTCATTACCAAGAGCCCCAGGAAGAAGGTTAGGCACCCCCACATCTCCTTCCCTCCCTTTAAGCTGCCTCCCCCAGGATGCTGCCACACTACACAGTATCTGCCAGCACCCCCCCACACATACACACACACACACACCCATTCCCAGTCACCATTCAGGACTTTGAATGACAAAGGAGGAACATGAAGAGGTGGCAAGGGCCACCCTTTCTCTCAGGAAGCTCCTTTAGTTCTATGTAAATTTATGGATGCAAATGATTTTGTGGGGGCAGGGACCCCAAGCAGCCAACCCCTAAATGCAAATAGTTATGGGGGAGGCAGGATGGTCATCCTAGCTCCACCCATCCACAGAGCCTGGAATTCCAGGCTTCTGAGTATACAGAGCTATAGCCACACCCCTTCCTTTTCCTCTCTCCCCTCCCTGTGTGTGTGTGTGTGTGTGTGTGTGTGTGTGTGTGTGTGTATTTCTGGGAATCGAGTCCAGGGCTTTGCATGTATGTGCTAGGAAGTGTCCTACCACTGAGTGACGTCTCCAGCCACCCACTTTTGCTTCTATTCTTCTCCCATCTCTTTTTCAGTTTAGATATTAGCAAATTGTTTCTGAAGACCAAACTGCAACTGGAACTTTTTTCTTAGTACCAAGGAGGGTAGAAGTGAGAAAGATGTGATCCCTTCCCTCAAAAATGTTGCAGTCAGATAACATTGACTCAAGTGAAGCAAGTGAGAAACCACAGTGGATCATGTATCATAAAGTATTAAACTGAATACTACCAAATGAACATCAAATGCTATCAGAAAAAGGAAGGGGACCCTTAGAAGTGGACTTTGGTGATCAGGAAGGCTCCAGGGAACAAGTGGGACTTGAATGGGTTCTTGGGGGCGGGGGTGGGGGGCAGGTACTGGAGATTGAACACAGAGGAGCTCTACCCCTGAGCCACATCCTCAGCTCTTTTTATTTTGCTTCAAGACAGTCTCTCAAGACAGTTGCTTTCAAGACAGTTGCTAAGGTTGGCCTCAAACTTGCAATCCTCCTGCCTCAGCTTCAGGAGTAGCTGGCATGTGCAGCCATGCTGACTAACTGTTGTTTCTCAATAATATTAGAGGAGTGCTGGTTAAATAAATGTTTCCGGACTTGCCTTTATGGGTATGGAACATTTTAAGAATCCATCATGACTGATGGTGGCAGACAGGACACATTTGCTGAAGGTCCTCTTGCCATCTTGTCCCTCCTGTGCAGCAGGTGTGGCCTGTGGGTAGAGCAGGAGCTTTGTTTGCACCATGGAAACCCCAGGGCCTCAGAAGTTTCCCCAGCTTCAGCAAGGATGTTGAGCGTCTCCTAGGAACCTGGAGTCTGGGGCAGGAATTATTTTGACTACGCTGTAGCCAAAGGGAAAGCAGCCCTGATGAAACTACTAGTCATTCCTTAGCAGAGTCAAGGAGCTGCCTTAGGACGGGGGGAACGCAGGTCCCTCTTGCACTATCCCAATTTTAAAATAACAGCAAAGTAGCAAACAACAAATAGCAAACAGAGAAGTGTGGTGGACATCATTTTTACATTATGAAAGTTTTCAGCTCTAGGTTCCTTTAAGTAGTCCTCTCCCTTAGCAATGAAAAATGCATTGAATCCCAGATCTGCCCTTTAATAAATATGTTTTATGGTAAATTACTCGTCTTCTCTACTAACCCTCTGATTTTTTACCAGGAAAATTTCAAACCTAGAGAAAAATTGAAAGGATAGTATAGGAAAATGTATAAATCTTTCATCTGGATTCACCAAGTGTTAATGTTTTACTATTTGCTTTCTCTCTCCATGTGTTTATTTTATATTCACATATACACTTATATATACATACATATGTATAATTTTAGGGTTTCTGAGCATGTGCCACATGCCTGGCTCTTGCAACTCTTATTAATCAACTCAGATTATAAGTCCTTGAAGGCAAGAACTGAGTCTTCTCCTTTTGAAAATAATGTTTACAATTAAAAAGACTTCTTTATACAGATCATCTCATTTGCTCATCAGACTCCTGAGGGAGATATTTTTATTCCCATTTTATAAAAATGGAAGCATTTCATTATGCTTAGGAACTCTGATACTGAATCCCTAATCTACCCTTTAATAAATATATTTTATGGCGAGTTACTTAACCTATTAAATCTCTGTTTGCCCAACTATAAAATGGGGGTAACAATGTCTTACTCCCAGAGATGTGGACTAAATGAGACAACCGAAAAAAAAATGCTTGGGGGCTAGGGGTGTGGTTCAGTGGTAGAACATGTGCTTATCATGCAGGAGGCCCTAGGTTCAACCCCATCACAAGAAAGAAAAAGAAAGAAAGGAAGGAAGGAACAGAAGGAAGGAGGGAGCAAAGAGTGAGCTCAACATAGCGCTTGGCATATAAAGAATACTAAAAAAATTAAATGGGTGTTACGTGTGTTTAGACACTCAACATGCTTGTATATATATTGTCCGATGCTTAGGAAGGTCAAGGTCTAGCTGTGGTCACGGCTAAGTAAATAGCAGAGCTCAGGTTCAAGGCCCCATTTGCCCTATTCCAAATCCATATCCTAAGCCCATTTTCCACATAACATTATCCTGCTGGTTATGGGCTAACCAGTGCTGCTTTGTATGCACCATTTATCAAAGTCATTTGAATAGGGTGTATAAAAATTAGATTTGATCTTATTCACACCTAATCACCCATCTTATTTATACCTAATTTCAAAATATGTAGAGCAAGATTCCATCGCTTTGATTATACAGGGTTGGCCAACAGGCCCTACATTGATGGTCCTTTCTCCCCAGATCTCTGCCGGTGTGCCACCCTCTGCTCATGGCTGTGTTACTTGGTAGTCTCACAACATGCCCAAATCCACCACACCGGGCAATATTCACCGTGCCCCCTGAGGCGGCATCTTGTGACTGGACAGTGCTGTATCTGTCAACCCAAGTGTTCCTCTTCCCTAACCTGCTCCTGCAGGTAATTGGTCTGTACCAGAGAAAAGACTGGAAAATGGTACTTGGTTAAAGTGGAGTGGCTTTAGGTGTCCAGGACAGACAGAAGTCCTTGAACATGTCCCATGGTTTTCATTGGAAATTCCCATTACTCCTTTTTTTCTTTTTCTCTTTCTTTCTTTCTTTAAAACTGGGGATTGAACCCAGAGGCCCTTTACCACTAAGCTACATCCCCAGGCCTTTTTTTTATTTTTTATGTAGAGACAGGATCCAAGTCACTTAGGACCTAGCTAAATTGCTGAGGCTGGTCTCAAACTTGCAATCCTGTCTCACTTCCCAATTTGCTAGGATTACTGGCATGTACCACTGCACCCAGCCCCACTACTGCTTCCTACTAAGAACCCTAGCTCCAACACCAATCAACATAGGGGAAATCAACAGCAGCAAAAATCCATTATTTCAAGCCAGAGTCAAAGGTCTTTACCCCAAAAGAATGAGGATAGGTCCCACTGAGAATTACTTCCTCCTGGCTGGGCTTGTAAAGTATGGATTTGCTATTCCGATGAGTATCTGGAGTTCAGGGGAAGGAAAAATGTCATAGGAAAACTGAGCCTTGGGCAAATGGGGGCTGGAGCTGGGTAGTAGGGAGGGAGGGGAAAGGCCATTCTGACTTGAGGAATAGAGGACACAGCACTAATAAAAGTGCAGAGATAGGGGAGCAAAAGGCCTGTCCTAGGGACTGAGGGACTGTGTGTGCAGGGAATAGAGGGGGGCCCCCCCCTTCCAGACACAGATCTTGTTAGGGCTGTGGAGCAGCTAAATATTTCATTGATGGAAAATTGGATGTGGCCATGGTGCTTGGGATGTGGATTCTGATTTCACGGCTGAAGTACCCAGATGGCTGATTAGGCCTCAGAGAGACACCCCCCCCCGCCCCCATACACCCCCCAAGTGGCCTTGGTTCCCTGGTCATAGGAAGGTGCAGGTACCAACTTTCTTTCCCCAGTGAGTCTCAAGGTGTCCATGCTCTGGGTCTGGGTGGTTGAAGAAACACTCTACCTGAACCAGACTCCATTGCCTCAGGAGCCCCAGATCCACCTGGTTTCTAGTCACTTAGTGAACTCACTTTTCACATTTACTATATGTCAATCATCATTTTAAGCACAAATGCAGCACAGACGTCTCTGCCTAGAAGACAGGCTTCCTAACAGGTCTTTAACTATGGAGACCATAAACAAAGTGCTAAGGAGACCAGGGTGATTCATGTCCCTGGGCTGAGCTTCCTGGAGGAGGTACCCCCGTGTTGATGCACTCCCTCAAAAGAGGAAAAGCAACTGCTAACCAGCATTTAGTGAGGACTCACTCCTAAAGAGGTACTGTGTCGTGCTCCTTCTGTACTCCAGCCTTTCATCCGGCAGTCCTGTAAAAAGTAGATATTAGAAGTCTTAATTGCACGGACAAAAGTATTCCAAATGGGAAGACATGTGAAAGAACCCCAGGTCCTAGGGAACATTTAGTCATTTGGAGAGGCTAGGGCAGGGGAGGCACAAGGTGGCAGGAAATGAGCCTGGGAGGTGATCTGGGGCCTTGAATGTCAGTTGGGATAACAACTATGG